AATCTTTAAAACTACGCAACTGATTTTCATGCGGTTGTTTTTTTAATACATAGAGTGATTCAATAGGAAGGTTTATATATATAATACATGTACACTCACTGGTGCGAATCGTAAAAGAGGTTTACTAAGGTTACCAGAGAGAACATAAAGTATCGTGGATTATATAAATGTATAGTTTTATTTTTAATTAATATTTGACCCAAAAAGTTAGTGCTGGCTGGTAGTTTGTATTCACACATTTCGACTTGTAAATGTAAACTTACAAGGCTTATTGAAAAGAGCAACAAGTTTCTTGCTCGTTCTTCTTGTGATTAGACAGCTTTCCGAACGAGTGGTGGATAAAAAACAAATTGTTATGACTATTCAAAAGTGCTTAAATTAATTTTTATTTGAATAAATGATTTTCTATTCTATTCTATTCTATTCTAATTGTATTGCGGACGGGCGCCACCCTTACGAGACCGAAACGGAAGTGAGCGAATGCAACCACCTGTTGAGTTAAAATGTTACTCTAAAAAAAGTGGTTGCACAGTCTCGATATAAAATGGTTTTATTTTAAGTGAGGCGTTCGTGGCGGATGGAAAATGTTAAAATATTTCTCTTGTAACGTTTTAACGAGTATCAAGTTCATACTGCGGGGTACGATAAAATCTTTCACGGCAATTTTTAAAGATTCTCATCCGGTTTGTCACTTGGGAAAACATCGTCTACAAAATGAGCGAAAGCTGGTAATTTCATTTATATACGGGTAGTATGTACGTGACTTTGTTATACAAAGATTATTATAGTCATATACATACATAATATCCTGATTAGATGATATATTATCGTATTCAGATCATATAATATCGTGTTTAGATTACACAATATATGTAACAGTAAAATAAAATATTGTAATGAGTAAAAATTGTGATTGTTACAGCCTATACTGTAAATACTATAAATGACGTAGTGGTGTAACTTAAAATAGTCGTGCACGCTACAAATCTTGTGGCGGGATGGTAGGCCGGGTAAATGTGCTCCCTCTAATATGCAGTGCAATGATGGCTGGTTTGTCCGTCATACTCGTGAACGGGTGCTGCTTGTGGGGACATGTCTGTTCGGGTTACGATTGATTAGACTATTTGCTTTTGATTTGAATTTATAAATGAAACTGTATTATTGTAAACATGTACAACATTTATTTGAAAAGAATACAAGCTGAGTTTCTTATCAGTTCTTATCTCGAAATCAATCCTTACTGACGGTAGATTTAACATATCATAAGAGTCTGAAATAGACCTACATGAATAAAGATATATTGAATATGAATTTGAATGTCAAATATACATATAAACATATACTAAGTGATAAAAATAAGCAAGTTTTAAAAACAAATCACTTCACCATTGCCACGATACAAATACGACAAATTTATTTAATTTAGCCTTTGGAGACCATATTTCTAATAATATTGCACTCACTAGTTTCTAATATTCAAGCATCTGTGAATATTTAACGCAGTTAAGTGTGAATATTGGTTCAGTATACATATTTATGAAGTCGTCGCGTATCATAACAGCAGAACTGCAGCGGCAAAGGAAATAAACCAAACAGATCATCGCGAAATCCTTGACAGGCCCTGTCTAAGGAGATGCAATAGTATATTAGGTGTTCTATAAAGGTATTTCTATAGAAGGAAAAGTAATATAATTGACGTTTAATATTTTTTTGCGAAGAGATATCACTTGGCTTAATAATTCTGGGTAATTTATAAGAAAACAAGTCACATTTCCACCTCAGATAATGTGCGTAGATATTCATAATATTGAATTACAAAACGAAATTGCTAATTTAACATGCAGCAGAAATTTATTGATTTTCATACTTGTGGACGCGTGCTGCTTGTAAGAAGTGCTCTAAGTACTATGACTAATTTACTCTTATGTCTTTATGTATTTATTGAATTATTGGATTCACTAAATACATAAAGACATAACAGATCGAAAATAGATTTATTTTGAAAATTGATTTGGAAAAATAATTGATTTATTGAATTAGTGCTACTTAATAGTTTGTATTCACACACTTCAACTTAAAAATGTAAAGTAACAACGAAAATATTGACGACCTCGGTGATCTAGTGGTCTAGCACATCGCTTTACGACCGATGGTCACGGGTTCGATTCCGGCACGGCACAAACATTTGCATTTATGAGTATGATTGTTTTTATCGGTCTGGATGTTTTCTATGTATAATATATATGTATTTACAAAAAAAAATCTATGTATCAGTTATCTATTACCCATAACACAAGCTTTAACTAGCTTAACTTGGGCCTAGATGGCGCTGTGTGAATTGTCCTGAAATTATTATAAATATTTAAAAGAGCAACACGCAAGTTTATTTCTCACTCACTCTTCAGTGGTAGATTGAAAAAAAGCCTGATGACTATTCAAAAGTGCTTCAATATGAGTTTATTTGAATATATCATTTTCTATTCTATTTTAAAAACATACGTAATTATTTTGTCAATACAAAGTGCACTATTAATATCCATTAGTACTAAATGGACACATAGCTTTTAGCATTGAGTGTCGTCGATTTTGCGGCTGCATTGATTTCATCGCTATTTCGAAATTGCGTTTTAGCAACTACATATACATCGTTGATCGATACGTGTATGTTAAAATAACACATTTTAGCTCTAGCGTCGTCGTAGTCGTTAAAATCTCACGTTTTAGCTTCTGTATCGATAACATAAACATCGGACAGACAAAATGAACAATAGCCCGTCACATTGCTGAACATATAAAAGCTATTAAAAACAACGATCCACGGAAATCAGCCATAGCGGAACACTTGTTGGGATCGGGACCCAATCACTGGATTGAACTACACCAACCAAAAGTATTAACATCAGAACGGCATTATATCCCAAGAATGGTTAGAGAGGCCATTGAAATACAGAAATATAAAAAATTCAATCGAGAAGACGGTTATAGGCTCTCTAATGCCTGGAATCCAGTGATTGGTTTAATTAAACAAAAACAAAAAACGCGATCGAAAAGTGTATTAAATGTATGTAAAGATACTGTGAGTATAGTTTGCCGAGATGAATATCGAGCAAGAAAAGAAGACGTGTGAAGGTAGACGCATATGTCTGCCCATAAAATGATTTCATTTCCATCTACCCGCTGCTCTTCAGTTTACCCGTGATCATGGTGGTTGAAACACTACAGAAATATCGGGAACTCAGCAAATAAATATAAAACGTGGTAAGATCCCGAGATTTTTACTAATTATACGTATAAATACTGAAGTTTAAAACAGTATATAACATAAACTCATTTATTTTCGCTTGCTTGGATAAATGAGTTTCTGTCATCAATATATATCGAGTGCACGTTATTTGCGTAGGATGCAGTGACTACATCAAATTTCTAAATAACGAAGGCATCATAGTTACCGGGATTGCGTGTACGGATTAATGCATCGGATTAATAACATCGGACGCGACATCAAGTTTCTGAAAACCAATTAAATTAAACGACGTATATCAAAATTGCGGTGGATGCTGCAGCCGATACATTCATTTTGAAACATACTCATATAACCGATAACTTTACAATTATTTAACATGTTTAGATGATTATTTAGAAATTATACTTGTATATATTACTAGCTACGCGCCCCGGCTTCGCACGGGTGCACTTGTATTATATATATAAATTCCTTCCTCTTGAATAACTCTATCTAGTACAAATACCGCTTCAAAATCCGTTGCATAGTTTTAAAGATTTAAGCATATATAGGGATGGACAGACAGCGACAGCGACTTTGTTTTATACTATGTAATGAAGTATGATTTATTTATTTATTTAAACATTTATCAGTGTACATTTTTGATGCTGACTTCTAAACTAGCGGGAGCTGTATATCAGGAGTCAGTTCCATCCCAAAACCAAGATTACAGTTTTAATTTCCATGTAAAATTAGGAGTAAACTTAATTATTATTTTATTCTATTTAGGTTTTGTTTGTGTGTGTATGTATTGATAGATACTCGTTTTTCGGTGGATAAAACAGCGCTTTATACCCAGATAGTTGATGATTACAATATACATTTGTACTACATGACTATTGTCGCAAATGATTCGTCCACAATTCAAAGTTATATTTGCGACAGTTACGACATCTACATCACAAACAGTTTCATTATTTGGTAGCTCACGTCTTGTTTTTTATTTACACTAGTATATGTGTTTTTTCTTCTTATTATTTATTTATCTATCTGTTTAAACAGAGTCAAGCGTTGTCGTCATTGTGAACACAACACTTACTATGGCAACATTAAAATATTGAATAGAATAGAATAGAAAATCATTTATGAAACAAACTTAATTTAAGCACTTTTGAATAGTCATAGTTATCATTCTTTTCATCTACCGCTCATTCGGATAGCTCCCTCATCACAAGAAGAACGATAAAGAAACTTGCGTGTTGCTCTTTTAAATAATCAATGTAACTTTACATTTCCAATTCGAATACAAACCACCAACTCGCACTAATTTATTAGGGTCAGATATTAAATAGACAATAGGATTAAAACAGTCAAAATGATTAGAGCAGACCAGACCCTACAAGCAGCACTAGTTCACGAGTATTACGTATGAGCCAGTACGTCACTGCGCTCAACCATATTTAGGATTGGATTGAGTTATACCAATATTTGATCTTCTCTGTCATTCCTACTAATGTCGATCTCTAAATTAGTTATTGTATTATAACAGCATATTTTTAGATACATATTTGGAAAGCAGTAATATAGCAGAATGAAATATAAAACAATATAAGGAACTATAAGTTTAGAATAGAAAATATTTACATTTCTGATTAGCCAGTTACAACGTTACTTAATCAGAATTTCTTAATTGGAGTCGCTTAATTAAAAATCAATTTTTTATTATAGTAACACATATAGACATACCAACATGTTAATTATGTTTCAGGGCTGCCAGACACATATGATGCCGTCTACAAGCCAACGGGTCATGGTGCGCCGAGTCACTCGAAGGTAACCGAAATGCGTAGCGAAATCCTTTTATTTTTTTTTATTCATATTCATTTATTTTAGCTACGCGAAAGGCCGGCTGATCATTATTTCTTTTATTTTGTAGTTTTAAATTAATCCTTAATGTAAGTTAAGCGTAAGTGTGTTCACAGCTCACCTGACTCTGATGATTCACTGCCTGGTGATGAGAGCGAGGAATACGGAAGAGATGACGCGTTCCTGATGAATGCGCACACAGAGAATAAGTTTTACGGTAAACACATTCATTTATTAATATTGATGCACTGAATTAGAAGTATATTATACTGCATGTCGTATTAATTTATGAGTTAGGTACTTATATATTCTATGAAATTGCGTGAGATATTGCTAATTGCGATTTTATAGTAATTTGCTAAGATGCTAGCGATCCATTAGCACAATTTAATATCTCATTCGACTAATAGACATGAGTATAGGTTCTCTTTGGGGGATTTTTTATATACAAATGAAGTCAGGCTATACTGTTTATTTATAAATTTGTTAATATTTAGTATGCCTATCCATCTTCTCTGTGTATATAGTTATTTTGTGTTCATATAAGTGCTCGTAATAGTATTTTATTTATATGTCGAATTTTTGTTATTTTTTAATTATTATACTTATATATACTTCTTATTATTATATTATATTCTTATTAAAACTTATTAATATTTATTTATTCCACAATATCTTGTGTTCCGGAGTTTCTATAATTAAAATCGAGATTTTTTTTTTCATTTACTTGTGCGATAAAATTCTGAAATCATGCATATATTTTTCATATATATTTATAGGTATATTGTACATTAATATAATGATCTGATCTCAGGTGCTGTGCCAGGTGGCTCATGCGGGAGTTCTTCTCGCTGTGGTCGATTCTTTGATGCCTTGTACCGGCAACTCCATGCTATGTCCTACTTGTGCCCTGGACTGTTCCCTTGGGTTGACTGCGGCCCAGCTACTTACCACTCAGGTGCAAACAAACCCAGAAAATATAAAAATATTACTGATATATATATATATCTATAATATAAAAATATACTAAACATTTCATATGCACTAATCTCCTGAGGAAATACTTAGATGGGTTACTTAAGACAGTAATCTAATAAAATTCTCGTGTCACAGATTTCGTGTTTATACTCCTCCGCAACGGCTTGACCGATTTTGATGAAATTTTATATATATATTCAATAGGTTTGAGAATAGGTTTTTAACTAATTTTTATACCCCTAAGTGTAAGGGTTCACCCTGAAAAAAAATTTTCGACAATATTTTTTTTATTATGCAGCATCAAAAATATATCAACCCTAAAAATAAATATACAACTCTAATTATAAATAGCGATTTTAATTTATATGGCAAAACAACGGTTACCGGGACAGCTATATTAAGATTTCCATTAGAATAAAGTTTGTTCATGCCTTAATTTAGTAGAAACAAAGTTACTTCCACATTTATAAGCCTTGATCGCGACTACTCTACATAACATTCTTTAGGTTCAGTGACATAATTACTTAAGACTAAAAGACATATGACAGCTGACTGTGTAAATCAACATTAGAGTAGTATCAGCAGTAGCAAGAGATGTTAGTCTCTTTTTTTCGGGCTACTCTAATGCTATTGGCCGCTGCTGGCCTTTACAGCATCACCGGACGACAGGGGGCGAGTGCAGATGGCACCCCAAACCCGCAGAAGGACTTATGGAGCGGCTGAAGGCCAACTCTCGCCTGACGGATACGACTTTAGTCTGAGTACACCGCTAGGGGTCTTAACCTTAGCTCAGGCCATCGTAATTTCCATTGGATTGGGGGGAGTTTTTTTTTTGTATGTAATAATGTAATGTGACGGGTTCACCATTGAACCCGCCTGCGCTATCGGTTTATGCTGGCGGGGCACCAGTGGAGGGTGATATGAGCATTCGGTCAGGTCAGTTAGCCCATCGTGACAAATTCACCATTAATTTATCACGATGTTTTCCAGGGGGAACCGCGTGGATGTCAACCTGAAATAATACATTGATAGCAATGGGTCAAGAGTCCATATTACTTACAATCCCCTTTCCCCCTATCGAAGGGGAGTCTGTCATCTCACAATAGATGTTCTTTGTATACACAGCTACTACTCCTACCTACAAACTTTGTCGCACCGGTAGTGGTTAAGTGTAAGCCGAAGACAGTAACCATTTTATACAAATCCATTCATTAGTCGGGCATGTTTGTACACAGTGGAAATGGTACAGAAACTGACTCACTTTGCCATACAAATTCCTAGTAAGGATGTGCACTTAGGTACATTAAACCACGCTCTCAACTCCAATTCAAATTAGTGTGTTCACTCACAGTCGAAAATGCTGTAGTACGTATTTATACAGACTAAGGTCTGTAGACAGTTGTATTTTAGAATTAAATCACATTTAAACATTGCGTTTACGAATGAAATTTCAAATAAATTTATGAATTTAGTTAACAAAGACTACGATTATGTATTCAATTTGCGTTTAGAATAGAGGCATTGAAAATTAGATGCATTTATCAGAAATTTGTTGAGCTTTAATTATACAGATAACAAAACCGGAATCTGAATTATTTGGGAATGGTTTTCAAATTTCTTGAACGAATTAATAAGAAAATATTCACTATAAATGTGCTTATTTCCTAACTTTAATTGTGTAAATTTTAAAAACGCAGGTAGCAGACTACATAATCTGCTAAATATTAAAGTTACTGTATTACTGTACGACATTAAACTACTTATATAAAAGGTCAAACTGTAATATTACTAAATTATTTTAATGTATCAATTAACCTATATCATTACATAGTATAAAACAAAGTCGCTGTCGCTGTCTATCCCAACGTATGGTTAAATCTTACAAAAGCAATTTTGAAGCGGTTTTTTTAATAGATAGAGTGTTTCAAGAGAAATGTTTATATATATAATACATGTACACCCATGCGAAGCCGGGGTGGGTAGCTATGGTAATCTTTATTACTGTGAATCCATTGCATTCCAAACATATTACATTTTCTGTAACTATTATTACATATAGGTAATTTATGTAACATGAAAATAAAGAAAATGTAACAAAAGCAAATTGTTATCCGCTATATATAGCAGTTGTTTGTAGTATTTATAAAGATTGAATCAACTTGAACGTGACCTGTTCTAATCATAGAAAAGGTCGCTAGTTATCGATGGATATAAAGCCAACTTAACCCGCCCTTAACCTCGTCTGTGCAGTTTAACGTCAAATAATAGCATCTTTTATTCTTCTGTCTATCCTATAGAGTGATAAGGAAATTAGTTTTAAATCTCTTCTATTGGAACAAAATGACATTTTCAATTCCACGACTTGATCTTATTCGAATCTCTGTCATATTTGAATGACTTTTAATATATTTTCTCTCATATTTGCAGTATGTATGACTATTTCCAGTATACTAAATGTTGCATGTAATCCTTTATGGAGATATTCAGTGCATATATAGCAGGAAATGTAATTTAATTTGATTCTCAAGACAGTTGTACATTAACTGTTACTTAGGAAAAAAAAACACTAATTTTAAATGTGATTCCATTTCACGATTCGAATCTCTGTCATATTTGAATTACTTTTAGGTAATTGAACTTTTAATGTATTTTCTTCCATATTTGCAGTATGTATAACTATTTCCAGTATACTAAATGTTGCATGTAATCCTTTATGGAGATATTCAGTGCATATATAGCAGGAAATGCAATTTAATCTGGACCTCAAGACAGTTGTACATTAACTGTTACTTAGCAAAAGGAACATTAATTTTAAATGTGATGGATAACGCTTTTTATTCTAAAATCATCATTCCTAATACTGTCCCTTAATCCATTACATTTAAATAACATACATATACATATAAAACAATACAGTCTTTTAAGCAGTCGTTGCTTAATTAGATGATACGTCTAAAGGCTAAATATCTGGTGATAAATAAGGAAAGAGGACCCTGATAATCAAAATGAAAGGATTCCATTGTTTGCACGAGTAGCGCTGTCAGCAGGATTCAAGTGCATTAAATCCAGCACCACTCAGAAACATCAGTTTCTGCCAAAATTTCGCCACATGAACACACACAAAAAACTTATCCGAAATTATTTCCTACTAAAATCCTAATTACCAATTCTATTCGGACATATGCCTTTATTCTAAAATCAATGAAAAGTATGAAATACTAAGAATATAATCGGGTTATGTATCTAATTTAATGAAAGCAACATTATCATGTATTTTACTTGCCAACAATTCTTAATTTTCTATGTACCATCTGAGATTTGCAGTTATAAGATCAATTTTACGGTTTCCAAATACAACTATTAAATGGTAGCTAGTTATAATAAATGATAATATAATCGCATTATCTAATTAAGACTTGTTTCAGCTATTACATATCAGTTAGTACCTGCTCAATTTGAGAACATTCAGTTTTATAATGTTCCGTATTACATTATTGCATGCTAGCTGCACCCGCTGTTTTAGCCGCCTGAAATTTATAGCCTATATATTATTCTGATGTATAAGCTATATCACTATAAAGTTTCATCAAAATTCGTTCACTAGTTTTTCCGTGATATAACAACAAACATATATCTATACTCACAAAGTTTTGCGTTTATAATTATAATATTAATAGGAAATCATCTGTAATTATGTTATAATATGCTAATTGTGATATTATATTAATTTCAGGAATATTTGTCATTAAATCTGTGGGAGTGATGTACGGTCTGATAATCTTATTCGATATATTCGCGGCGTATGGCAACCCAGGCACTTCGACATTCACGACTGTCGTCATGTGCTTACTCCTCTTGGGGATCATAACCATTCTGCTCATCATATCGAGGAAACCGCAAAATCGGTAAGAATAATCACACTGCAAAATGGGTTGATAGTTTTAAAAGTAATGTGTTATTCATTTCTGTATGTTCTAAGTTGCAACTAGGGGAACAAAGCCTGTATATAGTAATAAAGGAGTCCCAAATGTATCTTTATAAAGTTCGGAGGCTCATAGTTTGCGTTTCTGACAGGTCAGGATCGAATGGGCAGAACTTTGAATGACTTTGAACTGACGTACAATTTACGCAAACAACACTGTTCGAAGGTTATATTGTCACATCACTGCAAAAACAAACAGTTGACATAACCTTGTATCAGCGCAGTTGGAATAGGTTTGACTTTTAAAAACTATTGTGTTTATAATTTTTAAGTAGTTAATAGTAAAGTAATAATAATTTTAGCCCAAAATTAATACGTTTATTTATAAATTGGAATAATTGTTAATGTTCTATGGTTAATATATAGAAATAAATGATATTTATAATTTTGGCGTAAATTGTACGTCAATTCAAAGTTACATCGCCCATTTGATTTAGACCTGTCCTAAAATCAAACTCGGAGCGGCTGGACTGTAGTAAACTAAATTTTGTTCCACTACAATGTCATTAGTTCGAAATGCATCTAACTACCCTTTCTAGGATAACAGAGAGTAAGAAAAGAATAATTTATATTGACGGCCTCGGTGGTCTAGTGCTATAGCATATCGCTTTATTATCCAATGATCGCGGTTTCGATTCTTCGCACGGTGCAACATTTGTATTCATGAGTATGATTGTTTGTATCGGTCTGGGTGTTTTAGCATCCATAACACAAGCTCTGCTTTGGACTGGCGTTGCGTAAATTGTCTTAAAATATTATATTATTTTAATTCAAATACAAAAATAATTTATTAATGTAACATTTTAGCCGCTTATGAACGTAACATTTTTTATATTATATTTTTTCCCTATCGTTCAGTTCAGTATATAGATTCAATTTAGAACTGGCAAGAAACTTAATTGAATTACTTTTTTTTTAAAGCCAGATTATTTACAATATCCATTTATATAGGTGTCTATGACTAATTAAAGGTTTTAAATTTAAAAAACGTCATTGCAGTGTTGCCTTGATGTACGCTACACCGGGTCTACCGTTTGTTCCCGCCACTGCGATTCTTGTCAACATCTACCTGATTTTGAACTTGTCGATCCTGACTCTGGTCCGCTTCACTATTTGGATGACTCTTGGTAATTTTATTCGATTAAAATCTGGTTAAAATTTTTAGTAATCTTTTCATTACATAGTATAAAACAAAAGTGCTGTCCAGATTTAAGCATACATAGGGACAGACAGCGACAGTGACTTTGTTGTATACTATGTAATGATGATGATGATGATGATGATGATGATGATGATGATGATGATAATGATAATAATAAAAATAATGATAAATATTTGTAATCAGGTTTGGTGATGTACTTCAAATATGGCATCAAAAATTCGACCTTGGAAACTAACCCTCCGGTGATCCCGCCTCCCACGCCACCGACGCCCAGCCCTCTCGAGAGGACCACTCTGCCACCTCCGAGCCCTGCCCGCGCTACTGGCGATCGTAACATCTTTGAAGGCGACGGCGGCGGCAGCGGACTCTATGGCACCCTGGAGTAAGTTTCTTTCATTATACGACAATGCTAGAGACAGTTGAAGAACTTATAACCGATATAGTCTTATTACAAAATTATCTATGAACTATTTCTTTCTCGTTTCAGCTGACCGTTTTATGTCCATTAGTTTATCTGGAAAGATAATGTAAAAGATGTAAGAGTGTAAAGGGTAAGGAGACATGAAAAAGACTGCAATACCAACTATTCAAATTCAAAAATCATTTAATTTTATTAATGTAGGAGGACATTCTATCTGTTCATGAACGTCAAATTTATTATATTGCAAATTTTTCCCCACCGCTGCATCATCCAGTTCAATATAGAGACCCAATTGAGAAGAAGTGCCAAGAAACCAGTTTATTAAAAATGTGTCATATAGGTGTCTAACATTAAATGAAATTCCGGTGCATCGTTTAGTAGGCTGTGAACCATATTATATGGTCATTATGTGACACACGATCATGTTATTTCGTACATTTATATAAAACTAGCTTTTGCCCGCGGCTTCGTTCGCGTTAATTTATCGTCTTAAAGGTGGAATTTATCAAAATCCTTTCTTAGAGGATGCCTACGTCGTAGTATCTTTATGCATACAAAGTCTCAGCTCGATCGGTTTAAAATTGACAAAGTTTCATACAAATTTTCAACCCCTATTTTATCCCTTTGGGGGTAGAATTAATCAAAATCCTTTCTTAGCGGATGCCTACGTCATACCATCTACCTGCATGCCAAATTTCAGCCCGATCCGTCCAGTGGTTTGGGCTGTGCATTGATAGATCACTATGTCAGTCAGTCACCTTTGAGTTATATATATTTAGATACAGAGATGCAGTTTTCCATACACACGACACCGTCATCGCCACTTAATAGATACAGTGATTTATAAGAAGAGAAGACGAGAGGAAGGTTTATATATATAATACACGGGTGTAAACCGGGTAGAGTAGCTAGTTCAAAATAAGGACAAAATAGTGTTTATGTCTCGTAGAGAGTGTATATCTAGGGATTTCGTTGCTACATCTCATTTCGAACCCGTTGAAGCATATAACCAAGCTGCCTGAGACTTAAAGAGATAGATACCGTACCTGCGCGACTTTGTTAGGATCGCTATTAATCTATCGAGCTTTTAGCTAACTAGAACTCTGATCAGTTAACTATTAGACTTGACTAATTCCAATTTCTATCTAATATCATTATCATCATTACATAGTCTATACACCTATACATATAAATAAAATTAGAGTGTCTGTTTGTAATATTGAAATAACAGTTTTTTACTATATGCATATGAATATAAATGCGGTACATACACCAAAATAATATTTTTTACAATTGTAGTCTGTCTGTCTGTCGGTCTGTTTGTTCCGGCTAATCTCTGAAATGGATGGACCGATTTTGACGGAGTTTTTTTGGCAGGTAGCTGATGTAATAAGGAGTAACTTAGGCTTCATTAATTAAAAAAAATATATATTTTGAGAGAAATAATATCCAGGACCTGTAATACATCATGCTATCACGTATTTTTTACAATTGTAGTCTGTCTGTCTGTCGGTCTGTTTGTTCCGGCTAATCTCTGAAATGGCTGGACTGATTTTGACGGAGTTTTTTTGGCAGCTAGCTGATGTAATAAGGAGTAACTTAGGCTTCATTAATTAAAAAAATTTTTTTGAGAAAAATAATATCCAGGACCAGTAATACATCACGCTATCACGTTACATGATAACGTGATAGCGTGATGTATTACAGGTGATGGATACCACACGTGTACTAGGTTCACAACCTCTTTCAGTCTTCCTTCATGATGGTGACTGCAAGTTTTTAAGGACCCGGCAAATTCAAATACAAAAATCATTTATTCATATCGGAAATACGAGCCGCTTATGAACTTAAAATTTTTTACATTAGGATTTTAATTTTTTCCCTACCGCCCAGTTCAGTATATGGATCCAATTGAGAAGAACTGGCAAGAAACTCAATAGAATATATTTTTTTAAAACCAGTTTATTTACAACGTAGGTGTCTATGTCTAACATTAAATGAAATTAATTCCGTGCATGAACAACTATTGCCGTGCACGCTCGTCATTCAAGTAATCGTTTAGTGAGTAATAGGCCTTGCTCAGTAAATGTGATTTAACAGATAGGGCAGGGAAAATAACTCACTGTACTGTATTACAGGTACCCAGACCCACTGCTCACTTGGCATGTAACTGAGCTGGAGCCAGCACAATCCACCAGCCGTAGCAGCACTGCTTACGTCGAATCACGGTAGATATACAATAATAATAATCTCAGGACAATTCACACAGCGCCATTTAGGCCCAAGTTAAACTAGCTAAAGCTTGTGTTAACTGATACAAATACATAGATTTTTTCATAAATACATGGAAAACACCCAGAAAAATACAAACAATCGTGCCCATGAATACAAATATTTGTGTCGTGCGAGGAATCGAACCCGCGACCATCGGACGTAAAGCGGTGTGCTAAACCGCTAGACGGCCGAGGTCGTCAATAACTATTTTTTTCTTACTGTTCCCTTTCAATAGATGTCGTCTTCACAATATAATATTATAATTTACAGCTACAATGCCAAAACCAACAGCACCACCTCCCATACGTCCAGCCGTCCACCATGGGCCTACCCGGACTACGAATCCTGGGATGACTAAATTCCTTCTCATTTCAATTTAAGTACCTTATAATTTGACTCAAGTACACCATTTTATTTGACCATGTCGGTTTAATTTCTTTACTTTAAAATTCTTTAAATAATAATATGTTTTACTTCATATAGTTCTATTATAATTTATAAATTATCTAACTATAATTTATTTACGTTAGAATTCGAAAACTTAATTAATATGCATTCAAATAACTGATTTTTAATGTTGATTATCTTTTATTAATCGTCAAATAGTGATCGTATTTATTTATTTTAGTTTTTTTTTATTCTTTGCCAAATAATATTACTTTGGATACTTCCTTTGGATGTTTCTTTTATTTATTTTTCTTTCCTATTATTTTCTTCTTTTCCTTTAAAATTCCGATAATAATACGTTTATTTATATAGTTTATTATAATTTATATAATCGTAATATGTTAATCATGATTATTAATCATCATAATAATAGATAATAATTGATGTTATTAAAATTATGCGGTCCATAACACCGTAATTAGAGTATAAAATCATAATCAGTAGATATATCTTGATGTTTAAATGTAACAGTTTTTTGATACTTCCTTCTGTATTCCAAGAGAACAATGCTATGTTATATACTATGCAACTAACCAAGAATTGATAGGCAACAGCTTCTGACCATACATATCCCAATTTAATATTATATTGTATTCTTTTAGTTCTGAACTTAACTACAAAATAAGTACAAGTATGAAAAATTCCATGCAAAAAATTTTTTATAACGTTTTCATTTCCTTATGAAATTTCATTTCTAACCATTTATAATGTAATCGTTAAAGTAGATAGGTTGAATAATGGAAGCGTAAGTAGGTCCTTTGGCGAGTGTTGTTCAAGGGTAAACTAATTTATGTAGTTAATTTAAAAATTTAGATATGTGTAACTAATTCTATTAATAGGTTGGTGCTTATACACATTACCAACCAAATGATGCACATTTTTTTAAAACTTAGCTCAAAATTTTTATCGTTCCAAACATATCAAACGAGTTTCGACAAACTGTAAAATAAAAGCGTTCCTTTAAAATTTTTCCTACAAAGTTTGCGAACATGGATTATATATACAATATAATATATAATACAATATTTTGTATGAAAATATTCCTAATCCTTTTAACTGTACATTTCTATATTAAGTATAATTATATATTATTTTTCTGTAAGTTTTAAGAGATTGTTATATTTATAATATCTTTAACTATCTCCCCATATTTGGCCCGTTGTTAAAAGTTAGAATATAGATACAAAAAATTATGTTGGCTTTAGATTAGACCAGAGTGACTATCTGAGTGAATTTGGACAATATGTCGAATGTGTTAATCTACGATACATAGTAACTGAAGCCACGTGATATTTTGTATCTGCATACTACAGTACTGTTATTTAGATTAAATAATTTTATCCTAGACATGTTGCCTTTGTTATAAAAGAACTTTTCAATTAATTTAAAACATTTATATGTTAAAATTTAAAATTGTTCTTATATTTTATTTAAAATCTTTAAATCTGTGTTATTATATTGACGTTAGATATTTAATTAAATGTTATATATATTTTATTTAGTTCAATAACATGTTAAAAGGCAACATATATAATTAATAAAATAATCAACAATATCACAACAGAAAGTCTTCCTATAACTTCTGGTTGATCATCAAACTTTATAACACGAGTAGAAAAACAACTCGTAATGAAACTATTGAAAAAGAAAGTTTAGCTCCACCTGCTGTAACAAATTTTCTTGAATTAAACATCTGAATTTTCGTCGTTCTTCATGAAACATAGAAATTATAATCATAGTTTAAAAACGCGAGACCATAACCCATGTTCAGGGAGCATAGAGCGAGTAACTTTTTTTTATTAATATAAGGCTCTACCGAGTCGAATAGTAATATTATGAATAATAGTAACGACTGTATAATAATATGAACTTATAAAAAGTATAATTATACAATTTATTCAGTTCATTTTACTGCACTGTCCTTATAATTTAGTTATTTTTTATTTAGATTTAATCGAATCTTACCTAATTGTCCCCTATAATATTCTCTATTAAATGTGATATTTTACGTAATAAACATTTTTAAAGCTAATTTTAAAACAAAATTCGTACAGGTATGCCGCTGTATTGGCCACTCGTAATAAGAATATATTTTTTTGCCATTATTATTTTATATATTTCCCATATTTATCTACATTTTATTGTATATGTTAAACAAATATAAGATATAGTAATTATTAATGCATCTATACACGGCTCTAAAATCGGTGGCCACTCATTTTACGGCCGTGTGTCGAGGCTATCCCTGTATTATTAGGCGCTGTTTATTATAACTTTCAATATAAACTTTGTTAAAAACTAGGCCTAAATGATTTAAACTTTTGTACAAGTATACCCCTCTATAATTGTGTATTAATAATTTTTCCAGTAGTTTGCTTTTTACAATTCCTCGAAATCCAATTTTTTATGTAATTACTGAAATTTGAAGTCAATAATTGATGAAATTATTCAAAAGAAAATATTAATATAAGAATAAAACGATCGGCCATTTTCATGTCAGCAATGAACTTGTTCAAATTGTGTTAATAGTTCTTGAATGTAGTTTTTTTACTTCATCTATAGCATCTACTTTCCACGTATGATAAGTACCAACTGCATACATATCTAAGAGCCTTTTATGTTCACTAAATATAAATTGCACGGCAATAAATGAAATTTTGCTAGAAATATTCAAAACTTATTTTTAATTACGATGTACTTTACTTAAACTTTATCAGAGTTCGTCTCCGATACAAAATCCAATTGGGGTAATAAATTTATGATAATGGATAAGCCTTATTCGTAAAATATTGTTGTTGTTTGATAAGTAAATTGACATTGTTGGCTTTTCTGAGAGACGCATGTACGTATAAGAAAGTGGTGTGTAGTATAATGTAATGTTGTTAATAGCATGGATGGATCATCAACACTGGTTGATTACGTATAAAAGGAATTATGTCTAAATATTAATATATCGAATGTTAAATGTCTTCGTGTGTATAAGGTCGTATTTACAATAGGAGGCGTAAACTAGGCTATCATTTTAAGAGAGACTTACAATCCATAGCAATCCAAAAGAACTTCATTGTATGAATCAATAATATATGCAAAGAGCACTTGCAATTGCCCTGGTGTTTCGCTCATAGGCGGCGGTAATCACCTACCATCAGGTAAGCCGCTAGTTTATCCTCGTGCTATAAAAAAAAAATCTTTTAATTGGTGCCATCTTCTCATACAGATCTTATTTTCTTTATATTTATAAGATTTTCTGTACGTTTAAATGCGCCTCTTATTGTAAATAGCTTAGACACGGTGGTATTAGTGGCATTTGAACTTTGAGTAATTGAGGGTACGAGCCAAAAGTAGGTAGGTATGATATGATCACAGAATTGAACTTTAACAAACTAACGATTGTAAAACGTCACTCATTTTAGGAATTATCATTGCATTTTTTATAAAATTCGTGTTTCAAGCAATTTGCTGTCTACATTTGAATTTAGTAATAGTGTAAACACTCGTTAAATTTATCGTTTCATCATTCTCATCATAGAGTATCTGACTGTTACCTTCCTGTTCTGATGCGCGCAATGTATTCTCAATTTATAACAGAAATAACTGTTGATTAATTAATCTAATCGAAAACAAATTGCTTGATACATTTGAATGATTCCGCACTATTATCTACTACATTTGTTGGTGAGTGACATTTATCAAAATTTGTAACATCGAGATCTATCAAGTTTTGAAGTGTTGAACAACAAAACTTTTGAATAGATCACGACTTCTTTTATTAATATTTTAATTCGCAAGGGCCTCTGCGTAGAATCACATTACCATATTGTGAAGTCATTGTTTTAATTGATAAATATTAATTGATAGGTCATTAGACGAAATATTAAAAGTATCTTCAAGTGTGATTCAGTCATACTGATAAATATATAATATGATCGTCAAATATCAACATATTATTTGTATATTTACTGTATTCAAATAATATCACCTTAAACAGCTCGGACGAATAAAAACTGATGCCATTTCAAAACACACTCATACTAGAACATAGTAAAGTAAATACTTCGATAGAATCTTGGTCTACTTCATTTCTAGTCCTTGCTGTCAAAACTGTCTCGGTAGGTATTCTACACTCTAATGGAAATATACACTTTTTATATAACTTATGACAAGTTTGGAAATAATTTCTAGTCAAAGCCTATAATTTAATTAGTTCATGCCCAATGATTTTAAGCGTATTAATAAATTACACCTAACATTCTATTGTTATTACCTGCATAGGTAATTTGGGATTATTTACCGTTTCAATTATTGTTAAATTTAATATTTAAAATAATACTTAATTAGCCGATGTTATAAGGGCATATTCAAATTGTTGTACGTAGCGGATAAATATCCAATAATTATTCACTTAATATTAATATACTTACTCGAATTTCATGTTTAATATTACACTGTTTGGATTCCGAGAAAATAAGATCTTATAATCTAAATTACATTACGAATTAGTTTTATAATTTGAAATTCGTCATATTTTGCGTGTAATATAATTTGTCAAAATTATAACAATTTCATGCAGTTTGACATTATTTTTATTTAAATAGTCTGGTAGTTGCATTTCAGCATTTACTAATGGATTTAGGTATTTAATAAACCATATTTCCCTACACATTAAGATCAATTCACATCAACTCTCGGAATCATTTCGTAGGATATTTCATTTCGTATTTCAATGTATTGTATGCGTTTGCAACATAGATTTAATAAGTGTATACCGTTTAATCTTGCATACATAGTTTTAAGCACTCAGTGAGTAACTATTGTAACTTTGAAATATTTACACCAAAGGTCAGTATAATTCCAAAATGTAGTTATGTACATTTTTTATCTAAAAGTGTAGTATTGTCAACGTGATGTTAT